TATAAACAATTTCTTGACATTTTTGGGCATTTTTCTTGACAAGATACAATTAATTCTTTTTTGTAAACTAACAGCAAATGTAAAATTATAAACAAATTCTTGAAATTAGTTTTAACTTAATCTTTAAGTTAACTATTATGAAATAACAGAGTAGAATTAAATTGCTATAATTTTCTTAATTTTGCATTTGAAGAACTAATCCTTCCACTGAAAATAACCAAACAGATTAAATCGTATTTCTGTAGAAAAGCAAGCAATGAATGAAAAGTGAAAAAAACATGGTTAATATTTTAATTACAATTTTCATAGAACTTTTAAGCATTTACAATATTAATTCAAAACAAGATCTTGTTTAAAAGAAAACAAAAATTCTGATTATGCATCAAAACAGCATTATTTTCTCAACTTAGATTACCTTGCTCTACCAAACACAATGAAAAGCAGATTTATAATCTTAGAACAAGAAGAATTTTGAAATGTGAAAAAGTTAATCCTTTGTTGCTGTCATATCAGCTAAAAACAGATTTTCAGTTCTTCATGAAATCAATCCAAATTTGTACTGTCTTCCTGCGAATGTTATCAATGCATTAATGTCCCAGCATCTTCTTCAAGAGAATTCCGGTTTCGCTTATCTGTAAAAGCATATTGAAACAGTTATTATTTAAAGAAGAAAAATAAATATAAAGCAAATATTCTATCTATTAATTCAATGAAAGAAAATGTAATTGCAAAATTAGAAAAATCAATTGATACTAAATTTTAACTGGATAATACCAAATTCATGCTTTTGTGTTGCATTGGCATCATTTCGTAAAGCGATTGAATTAGACCAGAAGTCAGTATCATTGATATGGAAATAGTCTATACAAATATTATCTGCAAAAACAAATTTATATTGCATAACTATGGAAGAAAATGTTATCTGTCCTAACCTGGCATCTTGGCTTCAATCATTTTCAAACCACTGTACGTAGTTTCCCTGTGCCTTTTCTATAAGTATTTTCATGGTAATTGTTTTGGTGAGCTTTTGTTTTCAATACCTAAACTTTATGAATTTAAATGCAATATTAAATTGGCAGCAAAATTTCATTATTTTTTTAGTCAAAGTGGCTAGACGTAACTGTAAGTTCTATGCTGAAAGTTTCTTCTTTTGCACTTCTCACTTGTTTAAATCTCTTCCAGTTTCTTACTTTCCAGTCAACTTTGATCTTTAAAAATTTAAATGCAACGTCAATCATTATCTTCTGTCTTCTTAATTCCTGTTCTTTTATTATTCTCTCTCTTTAATAATGTCTACTGTTTCTTATATTCTTTCATATTCAGTAAGCCCTTGCATGTTAGTGGCAACTAAATTAAACCAGAAGTCAGTATTCATTGGAATTTTATTACAAGTGTAACAGACATGTATTGAAGTGCATTTAATGCCATTTGCATTTTTACCAATTTTTATCTATATATCTATTTTTACTTCTATGTTATTTTTGATGGATACTCATACTTGAGTAGAAGCTCTGTTTTTTAATTAAACAGTATTTTTTTATCCAACTACATACAATTAAACAGTATTTTTTTATCCAACTACATCTACTGGCCTGAATATTTGAGAAATCTTGTCATGAAAATATGCGTCCTCCAGCAAGATTCAAACCTGTATCCTCTATGGGGAACTGTCATTGGATCTGATGTGCTTAACCACTTGGCCATGTAGGACTCACAGTCAAACCAAGCCTGAATACTGCTTTTGAACACACACTCTCTGCAGATTCCCAAAGCAACCATATCTGCTCTGTTTCATATCGTAATGTAAACAAAGACAATTTATTTTAGGAAATGGATTAAATCAACATATTTTTAATTTATTTAGTTAATTTTTAATTTCATTTTTATATGAAACAGTTATGGTTCATGCTGACATTCAAAACAGAAAAGTGTGATGACTTGCCAGTTCCTTTTGCACAGAGATGTTGAAGTTACCACAACCTTTTCTCAGAAGTTAAAGAAGCAAAACCAACAAAGCAGTAGGTGGTTTGAGTTTTCCTTCTCCTTGACTGCTGATGGTATATGGAGGCAATGCGCTGCTCAGACTACACCCCACCCCTGGTCATACCAACAAGATCCAAAGAAATGCTGGATATTACATTTGGCGACAGCTTGACTCCAGGAATGGCTGGAAAGTTATCAGTGGTGACAGCCTTCTACCTTTGGAGCTCCATTCTTGGTTTTCTGTCTGGATTTACTTCCATAGACATTTCCATGTTTTGAATATGACCCCCTAGGCAGTTTTCCTTCCCCTATGGACTGTCTGCCTGTGCTGTAGAGCTCTAACTGAAGCAGATGGTTATGAGTTGTGCTAGTTTTCCATCCTTTCCCATTCTCCAGCTTAGAACTGGATATGGTTGTCACAGGCTATTTGAGACGCATGCTATAAAAACATTTTATAGACTGTCCAGACTATCATCCCTAACTATGACAAACTTTGGAATATAATGTATGTATATAAACATTTATGCATAATATGTACGTGTTTTAGAAACTCCTAACCAAAAAAAAAATTAATGGTTTTTAAAATATTAGGCAAACAAAAAACACTAGAAAGCAAGACAAATTATGAAATATTACACAAACACAAATATCAAAAAGTTTGTTAATTTTAGAAAAAGACAGCAGAAACAAAAAAAATGAAAATATATACTCGGAGATTATAAATTCATTATTTAACATACATACTATTTATACTACTTTTTTGACAGTACTAACACAAACTATCAGTTGATAAAAAAAGGAATGACAGCAGAAAATGCAAAGTTGATAAATATAACTTTAGGTAAGCAAAAACAAAGTAAAAATAAGACAAATGATTTTCAGGATAGTTGTACAAAAACAAACAAATATTAATACAGAAAAATCCAGTAAATGTGGCAAAAGTTGAAAGAAATAATAATAAAAAATACATGTATTAACTTAAAAATATGATAATTATAATATATATAATAAATAAGACAAATATTAATTACAAATTAAATTATTACATTTCTGTAAAAAAAAAAAAAAAATCAGTATTTACATTTTTCAGTTAAACTTAAAATCGTTAATATTTTTGATCTTCGACAAAACAAAACTTTCCTTGAGTCCAGGATGCCATATCAGTGTTTTAGTGATATAATATTAGTTACATCAACAGAAACATTATTTTAATCCAATGAAGTCCTAATGGATGAAATGCATCATGCAAAAAACTTTTTCCAATTTGTCATTAATTTTCCTAACATTGCATACATATGCTATCAAATTAATTTCTAACCCAGATATATACTGACACACACATACACACACTCTTGGTATTTATCATGTATTTATCACTTGTTATTCTTTTCAAAATTACAATCTCTACTAATAAAATACTTAGAAATTTCAGGAATAAACTATTACTTTTTTGTATTCTTTTAGGATGTTCAGGTGGTGTAATGGAGAGTGGCTTGGAATGAGAAATCGGAGAGCCAAGTTCAAATTCCAGTCAAAGTTCATTACATTCACGTGTATATTATACTCATGTCTGCTTAAGAATCATTCAGTAATTTCTCTTGTCCTGGGTATGAAGATAAACTACATCTGTATCCTGGGTAAGACATTAAACTACATCCAATAGCAACTTCTCTGATCAGGAGGTTTTGAGGAGTGTGGAATCACCTCTTAATTGCTAGTGTTCCTGGGTCCACCCTGGCCCAGGGTTGGAAGCACTTGTTGGGGTCCCAGCTATGGGCAAATAGTAAACCCTCAAACAGGGTCAAAATCACTGTGGTGGTGAAAAAATAGGTATTATTACCAGCAATACATTTTTGAAGAAAATTTTTTTACCAGCAATGCATTTTTTGGGGGGAAATTTTTTACCAGCAATGCATTTTTGGGGGAAAACTTATTACCAGCAATGCATTTTTGGGGAAAAATTATTACCAGCAATGCATTTTTAAAGGAAAATTATTGCAAACAAAATATTACCAGTGATACTTTTCTTTGGAAAAATATTATCAGCTATACATTTCTGGAAAAACATTACTAGCTATACATTTTTTGAAAAAATATTACCAGCAATAGATTTTTGAAAAAAAAATATTACCAGCAATAGATTTTTGAAGAAAAAAATATTACCAGCAATAGATTTTTGAAGAAAAAAATATTACCAGCAATAGATTTTTGAAGAAAAAAATATTACCAGAAATAGATTTTTGAAGAAAAAATATTACCAGAAATAGATTTTTGAAGGAAAAAACATTACCAGCAATACATTTGTGGAAAATAAAACAAAAATATTACCAGCAATAAAAATTTTGTCAACATTAAATACCCCATTGAGGTTGATATGCCATAAAACAAACCAAACCAAACCAAATTAGTAATTTCTCATGAAAAAGTATGCTTTAGGTGTCTGTATATCACAACATACATTGAGCTGATGATTACAGAGAATATTTTTCTTTGTGTGTGGAGTAAGGATGTGCTGGAGGGCTAATGGATAGAGGCTCATGATAAGAAATTGGATGACTGAGTTCCAATTCCTGTTGGGTTAGTTATATTCACAAATACTCTTGGGAAAGGTATACATTTACATCTTCTCCCTACAGCTATGGGTTAATTAGTAAAACTTGTATCCCTAAATCATTATCTCCAAAAATAAAAAAAATTCTTGAAATCTAAAAATATTTTCTGGCTTTAAATAACCTGCAAAGGGGCAATAAACCATAGAAAATGAATGAATCAGTTTTTTTGTTTTTTTTACACCAAGTGATTTTTAATTCAGAAACATTTTTACATTGTGGTGTAATGGATTGTAACTCAGAATGAGAAATCAGAAAGCTGAGTTCAAATTCTAGTTGAGTTATATTTACTTACACATTAAATTCACATCTGCTTAATAATTATTTAGTAATTTCGCATAGCAATGTATGTTTTAGGTATTTATATGTCACAATATACATTATATTATACCACCCACATATGCAAGCTAACAGCATCTAGTATTCCCAAGTGGTCACCCATTTAGGTATTGATCAGGATCGATGTTGCTTAACTTCAGTAATCAAATGGAAACCAGTGTTTCAATATGATGTAGCCGTAATCCTTCTCATGGGAGTGTATGCTTTAGGTGCCCATATGTCACAACATACCAGGTGTAACAGCAAAATTGTCCAATTGTTAGATTAAGCTTTGAACCGTTGTCTCTTAGAAATGATTAAAGATATCTTACTGGAATTCTCCAAAGTTTTTATAACATTATTTGAACAATAAGAATGTAATTAGCTCTAAGTTGAAATGGTGATCCCTGTTGCTGTTGTAACCTCCTGATCCCGTTTTCCTTTCTACTGCTCCCTATTTTTTTAAAAATTATTCACCATTCTCTTGACGGTTCTTGAATGGACTTTGAAGATGGTAGCCACAATGTGAATTTTGATACCATTACTGAAGGCCTGAATGATCTTTTTCTTCCCACCATTGCTCAGTTGGGAAGATATAGTGAAGCTGACACAAAATGATTTTAATCTATTCTCTTTCTAGCTGAATAACTCAAAGGGATTCTCAGTGATTCTTATGACAAATAGTGTCAAGATGGCTAAATGTTTTATCTGAAGAGAAGTATAGAAAGAAAGAAATAAAGATTTTAAAGAAAAGCATAAATGCTTTATTTTAATTTAAATTATTTTATTTTTATTTATATATTTTATTTTTATATTTTGTTTTTTTTGAGACTCACTGCAAGATATTTACTGCTGTCCAAAAGTTTTAGAAAAGAGTGTGGCCAAATATGAGCTACATCAAAAATGATCAAATAAATGTTTGAATAAATTTTGAAATAATTCACCTCACTTTATTTAACAAAAATAATTAATTCTTTCCAATTTTTTCTTTCATTTATTTGTTTATGTAACTGTGGGTTGGAGAAAATTAAAAGTATTTAATTTTAAAACAATATGGCTTCCCATTACCCTCATCTCATCTTCTTTACAATATAATGAATAAATCTTCTTATTTTGCTTTGTAAAATATTGATTAAATTTGCTTTCGGACTCAAGGTTGTTTATTGTTTTCATACATCTGTTTACATTACATTTTGCATTATTGTTTTTCAAATTAACTCATGGCCAATTGTCTGTTTACTATTTAATTCATCTCAATCAGAATCATTTTCAAAATTAACAATGCATTCTTTTTTTTAATCATGTTTTCTTTTTTAAAAAACAACTTGTATGCATATGTGTGCACAGAGACTCCATTATTAAATATGTATATACATAGGTATTAAATATGTAATATTAATATTATTTTAATGTGTATGATACATAAATTTTATTTGAAAATTGGAAAAAATACAGTAAGAGATTAAATAGGCAGACTTTGATGGTTAAATTTAATAAAACTATCTATCTGGTTTGGTTTGTTTTGTTTTATGGCATATTAATCTCAGGTTATTTAATGACGACAGGATTTTTAGGATAGTTTTGTATGAGTAGAATATGTATTCTTTGTAAGAAATCAGTTTGTAAATCAGGTTTTATTAATGTATGTTGAATGTCAAATGTATTGCTAGTAATATTTTTTTCTTTTTAAAATGTGTTGCTGATATTTTCTTTTTTTTCAAAAATGTATTGCTGGTATTTTTACTATAAAAATATATTTTTATACTTTCATAGTGTGCTCACTTCACTTTTGATGTTAACTATTTGCCCATAGCTGGGACCCTAACATGTGCTACCAACCTGGGTCAGCAATTAAGAGGTGGTTCCACACTCTTCAAAAGCTCCTGATCAAAGGCCTTGCTGTAGTTTATCATCATCTCATGAATTTAATAAAACTTGTTTGGCTCTCTCTCTCTCTCTCTATATATATATATATATATATATATATATATAATCTAGTGTCTGTGTGTACAATACTAAACATGTTTATACATAGTTATTAAATATGTAATATTAATATTCCTATGTGTGGTATATACATCTTAAAATATGCAATAAAAAATTAAATAGACACCACTGTTTATATATATATATATATATATATATATATATATATATATATATATATATATATATATATATATATATATGTTTCATAAATATGTTTGCTTATCTATATATATATATATATAAACAGGTGTTGTCTTTTATTATATATATATATATATATAAACAAGTATGTATGCTTGCTTATCTATATATATATATATATAGAGAGAGAGAGAGTGGCGCTAATATTATGTGAGAAAGAGAAAATTCTGTTGCAGCTGTTCTCTCTGAGAAAAAAAGAAATTGAAATTGTAATAAAAATAAGAAATAAAACTCATTGAATTACTTGAGTAACTGTAAATTATGAAAAACATTGTTTTTTACATTTTCATTTTACCCCTGCAGGAAGTTAATGTTTACATAGCTAAAGTTATATTTCATGTTTTCTTTAATGTTTTCAAAAACTGACATGTTTTGAAACAGCTAAAGTTAAAAGAAATAAAACTACAAAAGAATATTATAAAAAGTAAATAATACTGAATGATTTTTATTATATGTCTCATCCACTTTATTCTTAAAGAAACATACAAGCTCCTAATTCTTTTCATCTTGAGTGATTTCATATATTTAAAGGAATTTATATAAATAAATAATTTAAAGGAATATATAAAATACCCCACGCTGACAGTACAACTTTGAGTTTCATACTCTATGCATGAAACCCTGAGTTGTTATGAGATTTTATGACGCACTACACTTTTTATGTGTGTAGCAGTTTTAAAATCAAAATTATGGTTGAATTTCTTTCTTCCTATGTGTGACTAGTGCATTAGTTAAGTTGTTTGTTGTGAGGTCTCTTTTATACTCATAGATGCATTTTTTTAAATTTCTGCTTTTTTTTCTAATAAAGTGTTTGTGATTATTTTAAGAATATTTAGATGGGATAGTTTGTTCTGGATAGTGGATGTGATGTTGCTCAGCAGTATTATGCATCTGTTTTCATGTAATTTCTTATTACAGATTATGTTATTATTTTGTTTTTCATTTGTATATATTGTATGCTTTTCTTGTTGTGTTGTGGATGAAATGATATGGGTATTGTAGGTTTTTGAATGTGTTTTCTATGTATGTTTCTTCTTTAGGCAAATATTGGGGACTACAGATTCTTAATGCTCTCAGATAGAAACCTATGATAATTCCTGATTTAATTTTAGAAGAGTGGTTTAAGTAGAAACAGATCAGGTCTTTTTTTTTCTCAGTATTGTTCTTGCTTGTCTATTTTTAGAGTTTCTAGAAAGTGACCCATTCAAAAACATTCTCCTTCCAAACCTTTCCTATTTCAGTTACATAGACTACTTACTATTAATATATCCACAAAATACTAATTTAACAGATCTTCTCAACCAACTTAACAATGTTGAACCTACAATAGACTTCACTTTTGAAACTGAAACCAACTACACTCTTCTCTTCCTAGATATCATGTTACACAGAAACAATAACAAACTCAATTTTGACATTTACAGAAAGGCTACAAACAAAAATAACCAGATCACAAACACTTCTAAAACCATTATGGATATAATCAGATTCTCAAACACTAATAGCAATATTTCTGAAGCAGGCATTTATAAAATGTTCCTCCCAATATATTGGATAAACAAGAAGAAATTTAACAAAACACATCTATGAGCACAAAAGAGACCTCACAAAAAACAAATAATGCACTAGTCATACATAGAAATAAGTTCAACCACAATTTTGATTTAAAAAATGCAACACTCATAAAAAAAAAGAAAATAACTCACTCAGAAGGAAAATCCTCAAGAGTGCTGCCATTGAATATTATTATATTAATCTATACCCAGGTTTCTTCCCAATATCACTATTCCTAACAGAATTACTACTCTCCCAAGCCAACATACACAACTATATCAAGAAATAAAAAAAAATCATTGAATCTGTCAATACAACAATAAAACAATATTTCTACAAGATTACCCACAATGCACCACCGACCCGTATATATAAATAGCCAAGAAAAATAACAGCATTCGCGGCCTGACAATTACGTCTAGCATGAAACAGACTGTTGCCTCAAAGTGTTGACTTCTGTTCACTTTTATATTTACACACGCTCTATCTCTGATATTGAGCACTTTATCCCATAAATATAGCACACATTAAGACTATATTTCTTCATATATATATATATATATATATATATATATATATATATATTGTCACCTTTACTCTGAAAGTATAAAAATATGTCCAGAATATCTGTAATTGAAAGCATAAAATTACATACAAAATATTTAGATTTTGGCATTAAATAACTAATAGAGATTGATATGCCACTAAACAAAATCAACGAACCAACAGTCGGTTGATACCAATCTCATTGTGAAAATATTGACTTGCATAATAATATCTTACATAATGTAATAATTCTGAAATTTGTTTTTTATTCATGGTTCACCCAGTACAAGGTCCAGGGGCCACCCAAGGTAGAGGGTTACTGAGTGATAATTTGGAGGGGGAATAGGAAAATAAGAGAGTATAAGGAGGATGAGTAAAATAGATATCAACTGACTGTAGACTTAAAAGAGACCAAGATTGTTGTTGTCAGGGTAGCATTCATTTGGGAGTTCATTCCACAAAATAATAGTTCCAGGGTAGAAGCTGTCTGAGTGGAATTTGCTTTTTTATCAAAGGAACATGAAGGGAATGGGGATGGTTTGCCACCGTGAACATGACATGGTGGGCCCTGGCTGTGAAGGTTCGAAATTGTGACACTAAGGAATGTAACTCATCTGAACATCTACCATAGTAATAGTAGTGAAAGGCTTGTGATGTTTTGTCTGTGAGATAAGTGTTGCATGGAGGAGAATAATTCATTACCATAAGGTTGCATAAGCACTTTGGTCTGAGCTGACTTGAATGACAATAGAAAACGAATCTCCATTTTATGCCCAACTGTATCATATTAATATTTAACATCAATATATCTTGAAAATTTTCTTAGTATCACTTGGTTAATATCAATTTTCTTTTTAAAAGAAAATAGACTTACATAATAAAATCATATATATTGAGTATGTTATTTTAT